TGTCTATAAATTTGCCAGCCTTAAATATGTAGCAGGGTCTTCACCGAGCATATTGCGTATTTTGCCTTCCCTAGGTTACAGGAAACAGACAAAGGAAAATTGCTTTAAGCATTTATTGATAATCATTGAGAACAATCTGAGTCGTGGTGTGGTGCTGTAGGGTAACCACTAGACTACAAGGTAGTTTTTAACAAGTTAGGTGGTTGAACCTCACCAGCTAGCTGCTCCCTGGAAACCTTATCCAGGATTGCTATGAGTTGGAATTGACTCCATGGCACTGAACAACGTGAGGGGGAAAAAGAGAGAAAGCTTTTTTCCCTAGCTGCCAGCACGTTCAAACTACATTTGATTCTTAATATCTTCTTCCTCTTTTGGATCTCATATCTAATGTCTGTAGTGCAATATTTTTGTCCTTTAAATTCTCAATGTTTCTTTTAGTGGGCTACAAAAGAATATATTTGGTGGGCATAGCCATGTACCAGTCAGAGCCCTGTTGAAGGACTTGCCCCAGCTGTTAGCAAAGCTGTCGTCAGATAGCCTTCACCTGTCAGCCCCGCTAAGATCACCTCAGCTGCAGAGAACTATCTGTCCAAGGCTGTGCTATTCCAGTCCATATCCAGTCATGTGAGTTGGAATTGACAACTACAAAAATAAAGGCCCAACCACTGAAGTCCAGTGCCAGACAACAGCTCTCAGGTTGACTGTCAATCAGGCCTTCATTGCAGGTCAATTTCTCCTCTGCCCACTCGTTTAATGTCTGCTGCTAGAACCACCCAACCTGCAGCAACATTTGAGGAAACTCGGAAATCGATCAGCTAGTGTAATAGAAAAGAATGAGGTACAATATAATGCACATATATGGAAGACTTCATTAACATTCACCCTGCCTGGTTTGAATCATCAGCTGTGTGGCCTTGGACATGTCTCAGCCTCTCTGTGCCCTAGTTTTCTCACTTGTCAAACAATCATACTAATACAGGGTTGTAATGAGTCAACCAATGTGAGTAAAGCAGTTACATAGTTCTTACTATGTATCGAGTACTCTTCTATGTGTAAAATAAAACAAATACTTATGGGTCCAAGTTCTCAGGATAGAAGGGCAGCTGGGCTGGGGCTCCTCCCCAATTCCAGACACAGGTGTTGGTGTAGGCCTGTTGAAGCTTAAGTGTTCATGGGCAAGCCTGATGATGTCACAGGCGTGTTCTTGTGTGGGTGCTAGGGCTGCTCCCTCCCAACTGGCATAGCTGCCTGTATTGCCAGTAACACCCACGCATCCATCTATATGCTGAGCTGGGGGAAGCCCAGACCTGCCACACCCTCTGCTGCTGCTTTTCCAGAATCTTCATTGGTGGAGACACCTGACGCCTGCCTTGAATTCCCAGGAAAAAATTAAATGGGGCCCTATTTCCCAACTAAGGGCCCTGGCAGCAATCTGGAAATACAATCTGCTGACAAAGCTTTCTGGAGCCCCCATAGGCCTGAACCCAGACCCAGAGGCTAAAACAAAAGCAAGGAGCATGGATCTCACGTTGGGAAAGCTGCTGGAAAATGGAAAACATACTTGGAGCCCATCACAGCCCACAGGCTACCAAGTTGGCCCCGGAGGCCTGGAAAAGCAAACAAGATCTGGAGAAGCATGGAGGGGGGATCCCATTTGGTTCCCACCTGCCTTCCTGGCCTCCTCCTCGTGCTCACTCACTAGACTCCAGCTTTTTGTTACTAAACTTGTGCTGTTTCTGGTATCAGGGCCTTTGCACATGCATTCCCTCCAACATACCCCTAATAATTTTATGCCATGTACAGATGTGGCACTGTAGGATATGATCTGGACTGTGAACCTAGAGGCTTGGCGGTTCAAACTCATCAGTCGCTCCTTGGAAATCCTATACAGGGTCGCAATAAGTCAGAACTGATTTGAGGGCATACCACAATTGGGGTGGCAGGGAGTGTGGTGGCTCTGTAGGGTAAGAACCAGAAGATTGACGGTCCAAGCCTACCATCCACTCATGGGAGAAAGATGAGACTGCTTCCACAAAGTTTACAGCCTTGGAAACTTACAAGTCACTGGGAGTGAACAACTCATGTTGCACTGTAGGATAAGTGGTGGACTGCTAATGGCAAAGTGGGTTTAAACCCACTAGCCACTCCAAAACTATACAGGGTCACTGAGTCAACCAACTCGGCCGCACTTAACCACCAATACCAATTCACATCTTTTTAGCTCTATTGAATCCTAAAGACAGCTGCCATTGAGTCAGTTCCAACTCTGACCGTATGTACAGCAGAACAAACCACCATCTAATCCTGTTCCATCCTCAAAATCATTACGTTTGATCCTGTTGCCACAACGGTGTCAATCCATTTCTTCAAGTGTCTGACTTCTTCGCTGGGCCTTGACCAAGTATGATGTCCTCCAGAGACTGGTCCCTCTTGATAACATGTTTAAGTATGTATGATGAGGTCTCGCCATCTTTGCTTCTAAGGAGCACTCTGGCTATACTTCTGTCTACTTGGTCTGAAGTAGGACTCTCTAATGTTTTTATTTCGTAGTCCCCTGTTCTTTTTGCTTTGTAGTCCTCTCACTTGCCCTTATGTAATAAAGTATTTATTCGTTTTAATGTCTGAACTTCTGGAGGGGCTGCTGTGGTTGGGTCCTTCATCTCTTAACTTGTGGCTTCGATACCTGGCACAGGAAAACTCGGGAGCTGTAGTCAGAGTAGCATCTCAGATCTAGCAACCTCAAGCCATACTCTGTGAGCACCCATGTTCTGCTGGGCACCTATGCCTAGGGCCAGTGTAGGCATGTCTTTTCACCCACACTGATCAGCCTGCTAGCCTCTGTGCCCACTGCCTGTTGACTGCCAGGACCTACCTATTTAGGCCAGTTGCATGTACGGCAGTATATGCATGGAATCAGACCAACATGGGTTCAAACCCCAAGTAATCCATTTCTTAATTATGTTGCCTCCTGTGGCCAGATTGTAGACCCCTCAGTATCAGTTTCCTCATCAGTAAAAGGGGGGCAATAATCCACGATTAGACGGCCATGAGGATTAGTTGTGACATACAAACCTCAGATATGACCAAGCATTGGGTCAACTTCAGTTCCCTGCCTTCCTCTTTAAAGGTCCATCACTAGGTGGCAGTCCATATCAACCGCCCCACCTACCTTTAAGTGTTGAAGCAACAGGAGCTTGTTAGGACAAAGCTGTAAACTGCAAGCTAGAATTTGGAACTCTTGGAATTAAAACCCAGTACAGCAAAATGAAGCTGCTGCTACTACTGCAAGCTACAGAGGCAACCCCAGATTCTGCACTGCCCAACTCTGGTGTTATGACTGTGGGTGCCTGAGAGCACAGCTTTATATAAATTCCAGCAACCCTGGGTCTTCTTTTGGTGTTAATTGTGTATGTTGGGCTTGGTAGTCTGAAGCTCAGTAAATTGTCCTGCTCTGGTTGCCTAGATCAGTAGTGGTCAGACCTCACCTTGACTATGTGTTCTTGGTTTTGGTGGCACCTTGACAGGAGCAGCTACAGTGGGGGTGGGGTGAGGGTGGCCTCAGGAACAGCTTTAGGACCACAAAGTGGATTCTTCAAATCACACCAAAAAAGGCCTAGGCTGGAGATGAGAATAAAGTGGGGATGGTGAGAGAGTAAATGGGGACAGATCTTAGGATCCCTCTGGGCCAAGTTGGGAGTGAATTTTAAGTGTAAGAGGAAGTGGAGGGGTGGATGGTTTACCATCATTTTAAAGATTCAAGTATGGAGAGTAGAGGCAACGGGTAGGAGTAGAAGCAGGCAAGGCCAGCTGAGGTTGGAAGAGAGTGACTTGGGCTTGTAGGTGGAGTAGAGAGGTCTGAAGATTGAGTGAATAGGACTTGCTGATGGATTGATGTGGGGTTGAGACAGGATTAAGGATGTTCCAAAGTTTCTGGCTGAAGCAACATCGAGGAGCTTACTGCCATTTTCTGAAAAAGTGACAAACGTGAAAGAATTTGGTAGATGGGGGAGGAGATGTAGGCCAGGCAGTGGGAGACACAGATTTGATGTCTTAGTGTCTGGGTGGCTATCGAAGTCATGGGAAAGGTCAGACACCTTGGGAGCTGACTCTGATCTGAACTTGAGACGCTTCTGAGGCGGAAAAGGAGCAGCCAGAGAGGTGGGAAACAAGGTGAGACCCGCGACCTGCCGCGGTGGGACGGGCTGATGGTGATGAGGTACAGAGCACAGCCCGGGACCAAGGCCTGGAGGACGAGTCTGAGAGGGGTACCGTGAGTGCCACACTGGCCACGGGCCGGGACAGATGTGGGACTAGTCCAGGTTGCCAGAGGAGAGGGGACGGGTCAGGTTGCTGCCCATCAGAGGTCGCTGACCAATCTGCAGGCGGCTCCGCCCCCGCCCCTCCCCGGAGAAGGCGCGCGGAGAGCCCACCTCCGCCGCCGCCGCGGGTGTAAGGCGGCCCGGCCTGGCCAGGCTCTCTCTGCCGGGCAGCCAGCCCAGGTAAACGGGTTCGGCTGGGCGGGTCGGGGGCGCTCAGCATCCCCTCGGCTCTGACGCGTCGTTCCGCGGTGGCGACTGGGTGTGGGGCGCGCGCGGGAGCTGAGGAAAAGGCTGCGGCGGGGCCTGTGCGGGACCGCGGGCTGGGTGCTGTGCGCTGCCTGACGGCCGGCGCGGGGCCTGCAACCTGTGGGCGGGGCTGTCGGGCGAGCCTGGGGCCGGTGCGAGCGGGCCGGCGCAGGTTCTGCGGGGTCCACGGACCGGCTGCCTGGCA